ACTGCCTTGAAATAACCTTCTGGTCATATTGATCGATTAAACTCCAAATATATTTTAATCTTGAGGGTTATTAATTAGCTTTTGCGTGTTTCATCTATGTTGTCATGTTTATGCTTAAGCTATACCCATCTATATCATACCCCTAAACAAGCCTCCTCGGGTCAAGGAACAGCAGCAAATGGATGATACTTTTGTCCTTTTGTATTTATACTGAAGACAGCACTCCTCCCCAGGGTGGTACATAAACTGCTTGAAGGAAGCAACGCTTTAAAGTCCAAGGACAGGGGGACAAAAGTGTCCCAGTTAGAGCCACAGATAACATGAAAGATTTAAACATAATTGGCTGAAGCTTTGCTCTGTGAGATGGACAGTGATATGTATTTAGCTGGAGCGAAAATGAGGCTTCAGAATTGTGAGTTTTCAGAAATATAGTGAAGATCTTAGAAGGTCACCGGGGTTTTTTCCACACAAAAATACCCTTTTTAAGGATATCTTTAGAGATAGTCACACAAGGACATTTTTTATTAAAGGCTCTAAATCTTGAAGATACAGAACTGATCTGTATCGTCTTTTCTTGACCCATCTCTTATTCATTGGAGTCACACTCATTTCACTGCCATTCATTGTAAATATGTGACTTGCTCTATCGAAATCAGTCGCATTGACCCGAAGACACATTTTGAGTTGTATACACTGTTGGAAAGAGGAGATTCCTAGCTTTCTAATGATATCAGGATTGTTTTTGTACTCCAAATATTAAGCGAAATATGTCACATTATATAATGACTGTCATCATTTTGAGAAAAAGGCCTTCAAAGTGTTCTCTTCTCTGGAATCCATCAATCTGATTGATTATTAGCGGCTAATAGTACGGAGGGAAAATATTTTCGTTTGGATTACTGGTCTGGGGGAAGCTCGCGAGTGTGTGTGTGTGTGTGTGTGTGTATACGTGTGTGTGTGTACGTGTATTTTTGCGTTTGTGTGTATTATTTGTTTCCCGGGGAAAACACTCACAAGAAACACCGGCTGTTGTTATGCCTGCTGTGACTTAAAGTTACTCAGTTCTCCGCTTGTAATTATGCCGTTACAAGCTTCAAAGTTGTATTTATCATCTGAATTTGCCGAAACAAGTTTAATATTCTGAAAGCCAAGACTTTGTTTATTTTAAATCAGATGAAAACAAACTGTCACGGAACCTGCCATGTTATCTATGATTACTATACGCCTTGCATTCATAATTTCAGCGGGAGGGAGGGGGAGCGGCGCTGCGGAAGAGCAGAGTGCGAGTGAGAGGTGCCTGTCATCTTCCCTTTACAAGCTTCAAAATTGTATTTATCGTGCCATTTTGGAAATAAAAGTTTCATATTCTGAAAGCCAAGACTTTGTTTAGTTAAAATCACAAAACACCCGAAAAACTATTTTTTTATGCAAATCCACGTTTATTTTGAAATGAGCCGTTGCGACTTCCGACTGATTTCGCTAGAGCGGGTCACATATGGGCATTTGAGTATTGTTTTAGATAGAATTGAAAAAACTCTCAATCTGTCTTTAAACCCAGAGTATAAATAATAAAGCGCATTCACACACATTTGATTATTAATGCCTCCAATTGACCATCAGTATACTATATGCATTTCTTATCAAATCCATCATTAGTCAGTGCATAACTCCTGTCTAAACTAGGGGTGTGCTGACCGGAATCTACTGTCGGTAGATAGCTGACACTGAATAGGTATTGTACAACCCCACTTAAAACATCTTGACTATCCCTTTCATAAAAGATGTTCAACAATGGGTAACCGTGAAATAAAACTATGTTTGTGTCTATAATCAAATCATAGTCCGGCCTCAGTGTAAGACATACAACAAATTTGAAGAGGACAAACATTGACAACTACAGTGTCTGCGACAAAGCCTGTTTGTGGCAAAACTAACAGCAGTTCTGATTCTGCCATAATAGACAGCGAAGATCCCAGGGAGCTGCCCGCGACACACCGCTGCCTTGCTGGCTGACACCACAAGTCAAAGACCGGCTATTTAGACGTCGAAGCTGTTTGGGGACGAGCGCTAACAAGAACAAAGAGGCCACTGAGTGATCCAGGGAAGGTGTTTGAACACAGAGCACTCTCTAACACTCATTCTTCTTCCCCTTCAACCATTCACTCTCTAGCTTGCGTGCTTCTCTTTTTTTCTCACTCTAATTACACCTGCTCTGCCAAGCGTGGCCCGAGGCGTGGCAGGGCAAAATCATTCTTTAATATGAATCTGCAGAGTGTGTGAGGAGGACTCACTGACAGTCTCTGTGGATACATTAGGTTGTAAGCAGCCACCTGCACCTGTACACTCCTCCTGGGACAAAGAGGTAAGGAAGCCTTGCTTTGGGGAATAGTGTGTGAAGTGAGACCATCCATTTCCAAAATGAACCTGCAACTATTACAAAATCCCCACTCAGGAAACGACTGCTTGTAACCGATTAACAGGCTGAAATCTACCTGCAAAATCTAAATCTTACAAGGCTGTATGAAAGCCAGATATTAAGGTATGACTATCAAAAGTCTGAGAAACACACCTTCAAAAAAGGACAGTTCATCCCAAAATCAAAAATTCATTTTTTTTTTTTTCTGAATGTGAAAAATTGGCGTAATGCAGCGCTCAAGAGTGCTGGACACTTTTAGCCCTCTCTTAGGCATCTTGGCTACAAAATATCGGAATGCACAACCAACCGCAAATTCGGTGGCTACGGTGAGCACAGCACTAAACAAATACAAGTTATACTAATAAATTAACCACTATGCTAGTGTCGAAAAGAAGCCTCCATTCATTATTGGGTTAATTGAGCAGTCTGTAGTAATGTGTTACTGCTATAACAATAAAATGCCTTCTTGTGCCAACTTGTTGGATGTCATTTGGTGAAAAGTAAATAGTTCTTTCATGAAACTGCTCACAACAAGGTCTGTGTATTAACTTGAGTAACCGGGTCATCATTTTTACAAAGAGACATTCATGTTTCGTTTTTTAAATTTTTTGTCACTTTGAGCTCCACAATCTATTTCCATTATATTAGAAAGAAGGCAGACATCTCTTTACCCCATATCCCCAACACTCACCAAAACAATCTAGATTGATAAGTAGCACTACAGGTAAAAGCAAAAGTATATCTTTTTGATTAAGAGGGGAGCACTTGCTTTATTAATTAATACAAATAATGATCCTATTAAACACAAACCTTGCAGAATATAACAGACAACCACACACTCCTCCTATCCACAAAGATTGGCAAACGCTGTTTCTGAAAATAAACGTCTCTAGACAAAGATATTTTCCAGGCAGGAAGTGTGAAGCTGAAGGTGTGACGGCACGTCTAGAGCCCACAGAGACAGTTGAGCGGCTGCTGTGTTTGCCAGGAGAAATGTAGGATTATTAAAACCAGCCAGAGCAGAAGACCAGACACAGAGTGTTACACAGCGCTTCTCTTCCGCACGTCGAACAACGTAATCGGACAGATCCGCTGATGAAAGATGAATGAAGGATTCTCATACTGAAATACAAAGGTATGCCATGTTACTGCACGCCTCTGAACCCTGCAGGAGACATGCTGCCGTACCACAAATTACAAGAAGCTGCAGGCTATGTGAGGCCAGTTTTAGAGATGAATGCAAAAGAGTGAGAACTAAAAGGAGATGGAAATCATTATCTTTCCAGGTGCTTTTCAAAAAGGGCCAAGGAAGGTCATTGTGCAGACACAACAAACATCTTCATTAATTTAGACTGCTAGACAGCAACATGCATGCTATACCCTTCAAAGAAATACCACACATTCATTATTCATCCATACTATACTGGAAAATAGACATTGAATTGGTATAACCGCTAATAGAAAACACTTTTTTTCCCAAAGATTCAAATTCCTCTAAAACAGGGCAACATGAAAAGCTGCTTGAGCTCATTTCCATAATACCTCTGTGCGCCCCACGGGTTCACTTTGCCTTCATTTGCATGTGCCAAGAAATGGCATACACCATTTTTCTCCAAGTTTTTTTGCAGCTGGTGTTCATTTAAACTGCTTTATGCTGGAGTCTACTGGTAGGGGCTGCTGAATGTGAAACCTGCCCACTTATCGCAGCTCGCAATATTTGGGGGAATTAGCCGGGAGCTAAGGATTTTTTATCAGACTCACAGCAGGAAGCAAATTGGTTCGGAGATAAAAGTTTGCTACCCTCATCACCTATGGACCAACAGATGGAAGCTCATTTAAATGCAGACAGTATGCCCTCTATTCTACTTCTTAAAATGTGACTTTCCTGCTGCAGGAAGTTGTAATGAATGAAAAATTGCTTAATTGTTGCATTAGGGATACTACAGTATAAATGCCAGACAACTGGAGTAAGATTTACTGTGAAATAATTGCTGTGCTGCGATACAAAACAAACACAAACAGCAGTATGAAACAAGGAGAAAATGTTATCAATATGCAATATGCTGGTTCTGGTATTAAGTTGTAATGCGTGTATTTTGTGCATTATATGCTGCAGTGACATGGAGGTGAAAATAAACACGGTTACTTCAACACAGAAGAAATATAAAATATCCCATTAATCTGTGACTATTTTTAACCAACAGATTGCTTTTTATATCTATATTTCTTAATATAAGGAAAATATGTCTGCCACATTGGGAGGTTACCTGAAGATCTTGCCTACCATTGCAAACATTTACCATGTGTTTCTTACAATTTCCTGCTTAAGACGGCTGATCAAAAAGGGCTTAATGTAAGAATATGTTTTTGTCACATTAACGCTGGTGTTTGTAAGGCAGGCAATGTTTCTTGGGTTAGGGAAGCAGGGGGTCAGATTGAGTCCCCCCAGATGTTGACTCCACGGCTACAGCGTTGGATCATGTCAGCTGTTGCACTGCCTCAGGATGGAATGAGTGTCTACAGTAAGTCAAAGCCCTTAGAAAAACACTCCTATCTTTTTTTGATTGAAGGTCCTTAGTCGAGACAGATGCCAGCAATCCAGAGGCATTTTATTTATCCGAATATCTTCACAGAAAAAAAGAGCAATTACATCTACCTACTAAATCCAAAAACTATGCAATGTGCACTATAATCATTCAAAAAGTAGGCATACTGTATATCACAAAGTCACATGTTAAAAAGAACAAACTCATAAACAAGCAGTAGAGCATTTCTCTGCAGCGAGAGAGGCATAATGAGAAAGGGATGCAATATGCGTTTTCTTCCACTTAAAAAAAGTACTGGATATGTTTCTCCTTTAGGAAAAAGTAAAAATAGAACAACTCTGAAAAAAATGTTTTCGCCAGAATTCATTGTCCATGCAATGTATACACAAGAGTAGACATCACAGCTGCCAGCTACTTGTTTTGGACATGCGGCAGTGGTAGAATGCAGGTTGAGATTGGGGTTAATTATCACAGATGTCAAATCTGAATAGCATCATGGGGGGAAAGGGGGGAAGGGGGGGGGAAGACTTTCATGCAAATTCATTCAATATCTCACTGCGGGCTCCCAGACAGTGTCCCGTCCTCGCTCACACATCCGAGTTGATGCTCAGGTTGGCCAACCGAGGGTCAGAGTTTATCTCATACCTGTAATGGTACCCCTCCATGTGGTCCCTACAAGCGTCCCGGATGTTGTACATCCAACGCTTGATGCCTTTTCTGTTCAGGTACAGCACCAGCAGGAATATGACACCAATCAGGGCCAGCACCAGCCCCAGGAAGACATAAGAAGTCTCCAGCACGCCCTCCATGTCGCCCAAACACTTCAGCTGGGCCGGATCAAGCTGCAGGAGCGGCTGGCGCCTCAGGGCCTCAGGGTCGGAACAGGTCAGGTTGTGCACGTCAACGACCTGAGTGGAGTTCTTCAGCCACAGCAGCATGTCGTCGATGAAGCAGTCACATCGCCACGGGTTCCCCGACAGACGGATGAGGAGAGCGGGCTTGAGGTCGAACTCCTCCATGGAGGTGGTGGGAAGATCCCTCAGGCTGTTGTCCCTCAGGTCAAGTTCAAGAAGCGGGGGCGCCCTCAGCGTCCCGTTCTGAATGGAGATGATGGAGCTGTTCTGCAGGCTGAGGGTCACCAGGCTGGAGAGGCTGGTGAAGATATCATCGGGAAGAATCACGAGGTCGTTGTTAGACAGGTCCAACGCCGTCAGCTGGACGAGGTTTCCACTCTGTAGGACACTTTGCAGCACATCCATGGAGGAGTGGTTGTGGAAAGACCTACTGAGGTTCAAGAGCTGCACTTTATTTTCAAGAAGGAAAGCTCTTCCACTGAAAGTCTGGATATCGTTGTTGCTCAGGTCCAACCGCACAAGGTTGGGCAAGTTGTCAAATACCATAGCATCCACAGTCTCCATCTGATTCCCACTGAGATAGAGATCTGTTAACATTTCGAGGCTCGTTGGGAAAGAGTCCACACCGATATGGGAAATGTTGTTTCCTGTGACGAACAGGAATTTGGTGTTGGTCGGTAAAGAATGCGGAATCGCGTCCAAGTCCTGGTTTTGGCACTTCACAGTTTGGGAGAAGCACAAGCATTTGTCAGGACAGCCGTGACAGGACAGCACCGCTGCGAGGAGGAAGAGAAAATGCATCATCACGGACATGTGTTTGCTTCCCTGGATTTCTCCGCGGTCACGTCCACACGTCGTGCTCAACAGGCGCATATTGGATAGCACAAATAAGTGTGCGCCGACCGTGCGTAAAAATTACTTTGCAACAATCCAACGCAGCCACCCCCTCGGAAAGTTTTTCGACTGTGTCTCCCGGCTCTATCCTTTCGAAAACGGCTCCCAGTTCCAACTCAGACTCCATATAACTACCCCCAAACCATCCTTGTGTGGGTTAAGTCTACGTTTCCATAAAGGTGATGTGGGCGAAGCTCGCAAACTTCGAGGCTTTCCCTCTTCGTGTGTCTTTCAAAACCTTAGAAGACAAGGTATTTTTTTCTAACCCCGGCAAAAAAAAATCGTATCGGCAAATAACTTACTCGGACAGCTGGTTCTGAAAAAGACAATCCTCCTCCTTGTCTCCCAAAGGTGCCTTGTATTACTACTTCCAGCTCGCTTCTCTCCTAAACGTCGGGAGTCTAGAGGGAAAGACCAAACACACACAGCAGCACAGTGCAAACCATTGGAAGGAGGGAGCATACCATTTTCCAGAAAAGGGGGGTGAACTGAACCCCTTACAAGTTTCGTTCTGACTTAGATTTAATTTTCCACTCACGATTATGCCACATAGGTTTTTTTTAATATGTAAATTACTTTGGTAGCTTAAGATATAATTGTAAAAATCGTAACTAATTTCCTCAAATGACCCGTAGCATATTAGTTCTGCTGATGCAGAAAGTGAGCCGGTGTCTTGGGGACCAGGGACCTCTAGGGGTCCCTGAGGGAGCTCCAGTGACGAACAATTCAACCTCACTATGTGCAGACTATAATATAATGAAAGAAAAGATGTGTTCTCATTAGACATTTACAAAACGTCATGATTTTTTGCAATCCAATATTAATCATTACCAAACATGTACCTATGTTCAGAGGAAATAAGATGCGTTTACATAATGGTGTTTGCAGTGTGGGTTTTAATAGATGACTAGCCTTTTATACATGTAACAAGTGACTCATTTAATCACTTCATCAATTTAATGTACGTTATTGGATTTAATACCTTACTGGTTGCAAGTGTTTAGTTAAAAAAAACTTGGTTGTATATTTGGGATAATCCAAAAAATATCAAGTAAAATACAGTCTGTGAGTTAAACCAGCCAACATTGCTAAACACTGATTAGCCTACTATCAAAAATAATTAATGGCATATTCTGCTTAAGAAGCTTTTTCGGAAAATAAATATTAGTATAGTATAAGTAACTGTAATTGAAAAGTATATGCTTTTTGAGTAACTGTTTCAGAATTAGATGTATTGTGTAATTTAGTCCAATCCAACTACATTTACTCCCAACCACTCGTTGTTTGATATACAGAAATATAACGTTTTGTGATTCATGAGAGGACTGCAGTTTGATTAATTATGCCTATCATAAGATCTGATACGGGATCTAGTTGTACAAAACACTGAGTGTAAAAAAACACCCGTGGCCTAAAGGACTCAAGAAATCAAAAAGAAACTCTCAGAGGAATCACATTTATCATCTGATCCTTTGATAATGTCACATTGCTGGACCCATCATTTACTGCTGAAAGACAGAGTCCATTTTGAGGATTATATGAGTCTACACACTATACCCAATACATGAAAGGGGGGAAGGATTTTTAAAGATTTATCACATGCCAACTTTTATCTCCATATAACACAGAAACACAGACAGCAAGGTCAAAATAACAGCAAAGGGAAAATAACTTGTAATGATTTGGATAAAGGTGCTTATTTTCAGATTTCATATTTGTATTTTGTACTTCTACTGTGACATGCTCTGTTAGCTGCCTGGCTCTGTTGTGATTTGTAAACCGCTTAGAGATGTCCCGCCCCTTACCATACGTATAATGTGTTGGAGCCTTTATATATACAGTCTGGTTGGAGCGCTATAAAGCGAGAGTGTTACATAGTGAATCAGATGTTACTATGTTACAGAAGTACTCAAAATAATCCAATGGGGGCGTTTCAGCCAAGTGGGGAGTGTTTGGGATTTCAGCCTTAGCCTTTCAGACCATTTACATGCACAAAAACCTATATAACACACTACAGGAAAGGGACCCCCCCCCCCCCCCCCCCCCCCCCCCCCCCAAAGCATAATAGGGCCCCTTACAGTAATTTTAACAACTTTCTCAAAGAGTCTAATGTGTTTTCTGCAAACAGCCATTTTAAATACTGCATTATGGTACACAATCTTTTCAGTTTTCTTCCTGAAAATGGACCTAAATTATTTATAGTCAGAATGAACATTTCTCCTGACTGTTGTATATGTTATATCATTGGATTATTACTTACGCAATAATGCAAAAGCAGAAAAAACAATTGACTCAACTATTAGTCGATTCATTGAAAAATACTTTTTGTAAAGTTTGAATTGTATTTGTAGTAATATAAAGTGACATCAGAACAAAATACAAAACAATTTTGTCATATGTGTAACTTTACTTTAGTAAATTTACTTACATTTGATAAATGTAACATTTGTTTTAGTAAACCTTGAAGTGTCCTTTATCTCTTTAGGTAATTACTTGAGTGGCAGTGACCTTGTAGTTGTCTGCTGGATAAGAACTGTGGCTGTGTTCATGCATGAATGGTGAGGGAGGACATGCTCATCAATATCTCATATTTGGAAGCCCCCCAGTGTAGATCCCAGTGTAACCCTAGCTTCACCCTCATTCGACCCCTTCCTATTCTTAGCAAGGGTGAATGAGACAATCATTAGAGTAATTCCATGAAACCTGGATCAAGGCTGTAAGTGATACTCCACCTGAAGTCTTTCTGTTGGAACTTTGATGACTGACGTGATGCCCTTGTAGAGAATCTGCAAACGTTTTACCTCCACTTTTGCTCATGAAATAGATTTTATGGGGAATATCAAGTTATCTTTTTCTCTATAAAAGGAACAAACAATTATTGTGTCCTTCTTGTGCAGACATTATTAAACAACTCTTACACTGGTTTGCAGCTAAGCAAGATTAATTAAAGGCCAATTTTGTGAGAGACTGTTTATTAATGAATGAATTGAATTGTCAAATTGTATATTAATCCTAAGAAGTGTTGTCTTCTTGTACCATTTAAGATTCAAGAAAAGGTATAGTATTTTTGATTAACATGTTTCGTTTCTAAGAATTGTATCATGTTCTTTTATTTTTATTATTTTATATTTTTTATTGATTTCTCTTTTCAAACAATAAATGTAAAGTATGAAAAACTACAGCAACAAAATACAATTGAGGAAACACACACACACAAAAAAAAAATGAATAAATACATACAAATAATTGTTTCAAATATGTTTTGTCATTTTTCTTTTTATTATTAATCAATGTATATTACAAAATACTAAATAAATATATCCCAGGACATCATGGCTACAGAAACAGCACAATGATCAGCTAATACCCTAAACATATCAACCAATAGAATACTGGGATGCACACTTCCCGACCAATTAGAAGTCTCGACATTAAAGAAGGTTTTTACCTAACCTGCAGGGTTTCAAGCTAGCAGTCAGTGCTGTCAGATATAGCATCAGTGAAAAAATAAACCCGTTATCTTCTCCTATTCTTAGTAATGACACAGTGGATGTACGTCGTTGATGCAACTTTCTCCATGTCCTATTTTTTCCGTAACTAGCGGAAGGTAAGACATGATACGACATTAGTTTTCCATAGCAAAACAGCTCGCTGACGCTAGCTTTCGGTGATGTGTCAGTCAAGCTAGCTGCCAAGCTATAACCAGCTAGCGATAGCTAACAACACTTGACAAACCTAACTTTACCTATTTATAGATGCTTTTTCCCATCTCAACTGTAGTAACTGGTCAGATATTGAAAGGCATTGCAACCTATTCTCTTTTAATGTGACGCATAGAGTTATCCAGCTTGGGCACTATGAGCTAATACTTGGCTGAAGTATTTAGCTGTCCGTGCCATAGCCTGCTAGCAGTTAAGTAATTTAAGTGGGAAATATAAGTGTTTTATCTGATTTTAATAGAGAAAAGGCGTCACAGTTTCTTAAATAGCACAGTTGTGTTACGCAGAAACCATGGGGGTTGAAGGGGGTGCAGCCGACATGGAAACAAACAAGCTATTGCTAACTCGAATAGCGTAGCCTGTTACATAATACTGCTCTTTGGGCAACATCAGGAGCCCCCTCTTATCAATGCTAGTGCACATTCTTCACAATAAAATTGCCAATGTGCAAAATAATTGCATATGGGTCTTTTTTGTCTATTTCGTCCCAATCTTATGTGCACAGCGTTGTCAAATAGCTATCTAGCAAAATATGTCAACTCAGCTGATCTGTGTTTTGGTATTCTGTAGGCTAAACTAGCTTTGACCTTTGCACTCGCAGTTTTGGATCATCTATTTTTTGCGCCCTGCACCCAAAGCTGCGCTTATTTAGCAGTTTGCTTGTGCGCACAGTGTGTGAATGTATGCCATTGTTTCTCACTGATTACTCACATTTTCTTCTTCAGGTGCACTCTACAATTATGGAGTTGTGAAAAGGAAAGTGAGAATTTTGGGGGGAAAGGAGGCCTTTCCCCTCAAGTTTGATGGACTGCTGTAAGAGAAGGTCAGAGGGTTGTTGAAATTATTGCCTTTTGTAAATTATTAAGTATCTTTAGAGGAAAAAACTATTTTTGCAAACATTGAAATGTACATTTTTGTATAAAAAGCACAAGAGTTTTTGTATTTATTGAATTCTCGATGCCATTGAATGCAGGAAGCACCTTAGTTTGTGTTCAACTCTTGGTTGAGATGGTCGACTGAAACAAGTCGCAAGGGGGCTCTGGGGATCGCTAGGGTGCGGTGGAACCCCAACACAAGCACAATTCTAGCACTCCAAACCATTTCCACCTTTTGTTGACACGTATTTTTTTCTTATTTATATTTTTTCTTCTTGGAGAGCAGCTATAGTTCACTTTTTTAGTGACAGTGTTTTTGATTTGTTACATCGCATGGTCTTGTTTTTAAAGTTGTTTTGCAATTGTGGGTGGTGGGCTGTCAAGGGGACTTTGTTAGACAGAAGAGAGTAGGGTTCACGGTGAGGATTTTGGTGGCGGTCATCATGAGTATGGCAGTGCAGGACTGCACCCCCAAGTGCCGCTCACAGCAGCATGCGGAAGAGGTGGTAGCGGCTCTGACCGGCGGCTCTGAGGGGCAGCTGAGGGCGTTCTTGAGCTCACACTGCTACAATGCAGCCACCTTGCGGGATGCCTTTGGTCGCACAGCCCTGCACCTTGCATCCTCCCTGGGAAAGAAGATCCTGCTGGAGTGGCTGCTGGTGAGCAAGAGTGCTGACCCAATGGCGAAGGATAAGGAGTCTGGCTGGACAGCTGTGCATCGCAGCGCCTTCTACGGACATATCCACTGTCTCATATCTTTGGTCAAGGTATGTTATTAACGTGGATCACCAAAAAAATGGGCTCTCAACTGTGCAAG